CTGTTGTATCTGAAACTGAATATGTAAACGTTAAATATTTTTTTTTAATTGTTTTCATATGCCTTATCAACAAAGGCTAAAAAACAGTGTGGGGCAAAAGTGCCACCCCCATGGGGCAAGACGGCCATATAACTCAATAACAAGAAAATCATCAAAATTTCGCAATCAAACGGTTCATATTCTTCTTAAACTACTTTTTAATTAGTCAACAAGGTGAAAGATTTAACCAACAGTGTCAAGTACTCCTTTAAACATGTATTAAAAAAAAAATAAGCCTTAAAAAAAGCATTGTGCAATTTTATTGTTCGTTGTAATAAAAATTACAGTTCATTTATAAAAATAGGGTATACAATCAATATAAATCAAATACAAGTTGGGCAAGCAAGGTTAACACACTTGTGGAACCATGAAGCACAACGACCACATTTCGTCCATCCTTCTCCGTTGTTGGATAATTTGAAACATGAACCACATGCATCGCATAGTGGACTGCGCATATCGTGGCAGCTTATTCTGTACAGCCGACTTTCCAGTTTGATAACATGCTCAACTAATTCCTGTTCCTGTTGCACAGAAAAAACTTGCTCGAAGCGCCCCAAATGTTGCGATCCAGGTTCCAACGCCAGCAGCACATATTTCGATAGCGTTTTGCGAGGGACACCGTGTTCCACTGCTGCTCTTCGCACAGAAATCCCATATTTAGTCACGGATCGTATGGTCGCGACCATATTCTGTTCCGACCACGATTTACGCAACGATTTTCGCTTGTAGACACGCACCATCACTTCGAAACTTCACTCTGAGGCGACAACTTTTTGAGGTTATATGTCTTGTTTACTATGGCGCTCTTGCCCCCGCCGAGAAGACGAATTTCAAATACGTTTTTTGAGGATCTACATGCAACAATAAGTATTTATATATTGAGGGTCGCAAAATGTATTACCGTACAATAAAATCTACTTCGTGTTATTAAATTTTCTTAGAAAAATGATGAGAAAAAGCTTATTTTATGTCATCGATTTCTTATAACATTTTGAAGTTTTCGACAACGTATAAGTTTTTTAGATTTTTTGATAATATTTACATCATAATGTATAACCAAATTTGATGCAGTATATCTGAAGGGCTTTTTATAGCATCCCATTAATAAGAAATATCAAAAATGTATTTCAGGCTTCGATACAAGCAGGTGGCACTTTTGCCCCATATGACACTCTTGCCCCACCTGACCCTATGTGATATGAGGAGCAGGGTGGCCTTAGAGCAACCGTTTTTGCTTACTGAGCAGAACATCATGAGTCTAATCTCAGGCCCTTCCACATTCAAGATTCGTCAATCGTTTTATTTGTTAATATGATAATAACAGCAACTCGGTGATTAAAAAGGTGCTCATCAGCCTAGTGGCAAACGTTTTTGCTTACTGAGCAGAAGACCGTGGGTTTAGTTCCAAGCTCTTTCGCGTTATATGATCGGTAGGACATCAATTCAGCTTATCGTTTACCAAAACGAACCCTGCTGCAAACCCAACCCTCTTATCCAACATCCCAGTGATTCCTCGTGGAAGTGCAGAGGTGTTCTCGGCTTCCATCAAAGCGAGTGTCATGTCAACACAATCCTTCCCATTCCTTTCTTGACCTGTGTTCGGGTGCGGCCGGCGCTGGTATTGCCTAATTTAAGATCACCAGTTTTTACACATTGAGGATGACTGCTAGTCCCAAGCATCGTCTATTGGTTCTCTGTGTAATTACAGCTGATCTGGCAGTAACAGAGTAGCAACCGTGGGCGGTCAATCAAGCTCAAGCTCAAGCTTCACTCACTGGCCTAGGTAGATTGGCAGTCTCTTGACTTGTGTTCGTTCATTGATGAGGCCGTTAACTACTTCGACGAAGTTATGTGCCTCTGAGGAGACTTGCTCCAAAACCTGCATGGTCTAATGCTTAATTGCGACACTTCAAGCGTATGAGATCGAAGGCTCTCACAAATACAGCCAGTCCCGTAATCCATTCACCAAGCGGTTATTTTCGTTAGCAAGTAATGACTATCGAATGTACAACCGTTTTCTACACTAGAAGTACTCAAGGAGTATGCAGACCAATCTCCGGCGTAATCGTAACATATTCTAAACGTTTGTGAAGACAAAAAGGAAAGAGGGTGGGCTACCGGTTGAGTTTCATCTAAGCGATAAAAAAGCCAACACTTCTTTTAAAAAAAATTAACCTCCTGGCAGAGGTGCCGTTGAGTCATCGTTACGCCAAGTTTCTGAAGTAATCACAGATACTCCCCAGAGACGCGTTGAGCTTTGATATTTCCACGGTTACATTGGACCTCGTCGACTCTGCCATTCAGGAGCTGAAATTCTCGAACGGTGTTGGGCCTGACGGCATTCCATCATGCATACTCAAAATAAGCTCAACAGAGTTTTACTCTTCGCTTTCAAAGCTCAAGATTTTATTACAAATAGGTGTATTTTCTTCTCCTTAGAAATCTTCGTTCATGTTCCTGATTTTCAAGAAAAGAGACAAGTGAAATGTGGAGAATTACCAAGCAATTACATCACTTTATGCCTGCTCGGATGTATTCGAGATAATAATCAACGACGCTTTATTTGCCAGCTGTAGAAACTACATTTCTCCTGACCAACATGGTTTCCACCCCAAACGTTCGGTCTCAACAAACCTCGCTCCTTTCATTTCCCTATGCATACGGAATATGGAGGCAGGAGCACAGGTGGACGTCGTATACACGGATCTCAAGGTTGCTTTCGACCGGGTTGATCATGGCATTCTACGGTATCTCTCAAGAACTAACTCGTTGGTTTGAATCGTAGCTTACCAATCGAGAGCTTTGTGTGAGAATCGGCTTTGATCAATCGGAATATTTTTCAAACAACTTAGGCGTGCCTCAAAGCAACAATTTGGACCGGTGCTATTCTCGATATTTATTAACGAAATAGGTTTGATACTTCCAACTGGCTGCCGGTCATTCTATGCAGACGAAGTCAAGATGTACGTGGTTGTGCGATGCTTCACCGATTGCTTGCGGTTTGCGGTTACCTGCTGATCAATAGTTTCGAAGAGGGGTGCTCTGTAGGAATTTTCTCACGTTGAATGTTCAACAATGCAATATCATCACTTTCCATCGCAAGCTAAAACCTATTGCATTCAATTATACGATCGATAACCAACCTCTGCAGCGTGTGAACAACGTTCGTGATCTAGGAATTACACTTGATTCTGCTTCGACATTCAAGATACAGGCAACTCGGGTTCATCTTTAAGATCTCTGATGGATTTCGGAATCCCATCTACCTGACAGTTCTATACTGTTCTCTAATAGTGCAATCGATCTTGGATTTTGGTGTAGTAGTTATGGTGCCCGAATGAAACAGTTTGGATAGCAAGGATCGAGTCTATTCAGAGGAAATTCGTTCGTTACGCTCTCGCCACCTTACTTGGAATGGATCCAACTAACCTTCCACCCGCTAAGATTTGCTGATATGTGGCCACCATCAGTGTAGCGCGTCATGAAGGCCAACGCCTTTGCCAAACGCCACTCCAGTACAGCAAGCCTCAGACGGACGAGAATAATGAACACAAGCTCAAATAAGTACCGTCAAGTAGCCAGTCACCGTGGGTCTCCATTCATCGTGTTTTTTTTTTAAGTAAGTTCTACAACTCTTACGAAATAGTGTGAAATACTACATTTAGAGAACTCTTTTGTTTCTGTCCGGTATATAGGGTAAATTATGGCTTCGGCACCCATTGACTATTTTCGGCAACCGAAATTGAAACGTTAATTTCACTGTATTTTCCCATCAAAACTCTTCGCTGAATGTATTAAGCCGATTCCTTACCTTTTCAGCTTCAATCTGATTACATTTTTACGACTGTGCAATCCTGTTATGCCATATTTTTCTTTAAATTAAATATACACAGTACAAAATACGGCTGATTTTGAGTTGCCGATAATAGAACAGCTGGTTAACACGCAGTTCAAATGGAAAGGGTGCCAAAGAAAAAGAGACTGCCGACAATAGTCACACTCACCTGAGAAGTTTGGAGCGATGTAAAAACATGTTCATCCCGTTTTGATCAATTCTGTCGATTGGAATTGGTAGAACAGCAAGCAGCAGATAAATGTCAACAAACAAACCTGTCATGTATGTGTGTGACACTGAGAAATCGCTAATAGAAGTTCGGACGCTGCTTAGATTGACGAGAATACGTAAATTCCCCTATGTAGTATTTTTGCAATATCTCGAAAGAGCAATAGAATTTACTTCAAAAACACGGTGAATGGAGCACTCTGACTGGCTACTTGACGGTATTGACTATTTAATGGCAGATTGACAAACATGAGACGGACCGAAATATTGTAGATCACCTGTTACAGTACTACCATGAGAGGGAGAGGGTTGATAGCATTGAACTATCTGTTTTGCGATGGGTTAACTGAAAATAAAAAGTAATGAAAAAGCCCTAAAAGAGCGATCCATCACTGTCCAAACTTATAGAACGCATTTCTTCCGCAAAGAATACCAGAGTACGATTATGTCAACAAATGACATTTTAAGTAGTTCGATCTTTTGTTACATGTCACGCCAAATGACCTAGGGTAGCTCCCATTTGCCACAAAACATTATTTCCGCTCATCCTCTGCCTCTGAGCATGTCTAGGTCCAAGCTACTGGAGACGCTAGTGCAGATGGCAAAAAAAAAAAACATCGGAGAAGAAAGCGTTGAACAAAATCCTTCTCTTGTTACTCTAATTCAGTGTTGGTTCTATGGGAATACCTACACATTACACAACCATCGGTGTCATTGCAGAGTGAATTCATCAGTCATGTTGTATGTACAAACAACGCAAGTCAACGGTATCGCAGGGCAGTCAGCTTACCGGTGAGGTTGATAAGTCTGCTACTCCCGGGTGACTAGACCATGGTGGTTGTGGATGCTGTCTCGAGAAAACAACACAAACACAATCAATGTGGTGAAAACTTACCCAGTGTTGCTGTTCAGTCCGGTGTTTCCGTACACATTCTGCGAGCTGTTCTGGTAGCTCTGCTGCGAGGGGAAGGCCGATGACGTCTGGCTGACCGGGTACTGGCTGGACAGATAACCAGAGTTGGTGTTTGAACTGTTGCGGATAAGTGTTCGGTTTGGGTTTTGGAGGGCCATACAATCGGGAAACGGTACACACAAATCGGTTGCACAGGGATTAACAGTTTTATGTACATGGAAGAATACAAGGAAACAGAACAGAAGTAGGTTTAGCAACAAAGATAGCAAGTTTTTCATCAACTCGTTCGGTTTTACCTGTTATTGCTAACATTGTTGTTCACAGGCAGGTTCGGGTTGGATTGGTTAACCGTAGAAACGCCAACCGAGCTGGTAGAGTTGTTTGGTACCACACTGCTCGAGACGTTGCTGCTGGGCTGTTGGTACGAATTGACACCACTCTGGTTGTACGAACTATAGTTGTTTGTCGACGCAGGGTACGTGTTGGTTGACACCTATTGAGAGAAAAAAAAATGAGTTCAGAACCGCATCCGATCAATCATAAATGACATCCCAACAATGTGGAATAAGGGACGGTGAAGGTCAGGGATCTTTCATGTGCCTAGGTTCAACACTGATTGGGAAAAATCAAAGGTACCTGTGTGCTAGAGTAGCTTGAGTTGTTGTATCCTTGCGGCGCAGCCGACGATGGATACGAAGAAGTTTTATTCGCCTGCGACGTTGAGTACGAAACGTTTTGATATCCTCCGGAGCCAGCATTCGTCCCGGTGGACTGACTATAGGGATCAGTCTTGGTCAGTTGTTCCAGTGCTGTAAATAGATGTTTATCATAAGATAGGTTATTTTTGGTCGAAATAGAATCTTAGACATTTTCTCCACTTACTCGACGTGGTACTGTTGATGGAATTCACATTAACGCCGGAACTAACCGAGGAAGGAACAACGGTGGAGCTATTACGCTGTGAGTAGCTATTAGCCAGACTGTCGTTCTGAGTGGCCGTGAGTGAATCACTCTGCCCGGGGATAATCTGCGTGCTTTGCAAGCTACTTGTGAGATTGGACTTCTGCTGCAGGTTGCTAACGACACTAGGTTTACTCTGGTAGTCGCTAACCTCCGACTGCGACGACTGAACCGCAGATGGAAGCTGCACTGTCGAAGGCGTGTTCTGTTCCAGGCTGTTCGCGTTGAACTTGTCCGTCACCGAAACGTTATCGAAAGTCTCATCAGTGCCAAAATCGAGACCACCGAATTGCACATCAAGATAGCCAATATTGTTTAAGCTATCGCCAGGCATTTCGACAGCACTGGATGGAATTTTTGACGGTGGCGGAACTCGTGCCCGCTGCCGCCGAGCTGCCGGTGCCTGCTGAGACGACGTCACCTGATCGCTATAGGTTCCACTTGCACCGTACGTAGTCGGATATTGCACAGAGCTCGGCTGGAACGAGTTGACAACACTCGATTGGAGATTGGAATTCTGAGAAGATAGTGTGCTGAAATACTGTGTTTGTTCCGCGGAGAGCGACGCTGAATTGATCGGCGGAATCTCGAGAGCTTGACGCAGTTGCTGTGCGGCAGTTGGCGCCGAATGGAGATCTGGATACTGAACTGTATTACTTGCAGCGGCTGCTGCGGTGGCCGTGCTCGACACGACGGTGGTGCTATACTGCTGCACCAGATCAGTCTCTTTCGGCTGCGGGGGGTTCAGAATTTGCTGTTCCAAACCTGGAGGGGCGGACAGTTCCGTGGGATCTACAAGAGTTGAAAATGTAGTTTAACAAAAATCGTCTCAAAGATCAAAAAAAAAAAAAACTTACTCGTCACCGATGATGAAATCGTTGCAGGCTGAGCCGCCGTTGGTTGCGACTGCGGTGGCTGCGGCTGCGACGACGGTTGAGATTGCGCTGACGAAGCCGAAGGCTGCTGCTGTTGCGTTTGCGACGTTGTTGCAGTTACTTGCGTACTCGGCGTGAAAACTTTGGTATCCGACAGCGATCCAGTGTACTCCTCGTTGTCCCAGTCTCCCCAAGTGTCAGCGAATGCAGACGATTCCTCCGGTTTGCTGAGATCGTTGGTGGTACTGGTCGTCGATACTGGATCCCATGCGTCGATCTCCTGATGGTCGGTCAGACGAGGTCCTCGGTTTAAATCTCGCGTTCCTGGACCGCGAGTTCCAACCCGTGGACCTCCACCGCGTCCACCACGAGATCCTCCTCCATAACTGCCACGGCCTGGACCACTGTCACGGCCATCCCGACCGCGCGGTCCACGAGCTCCACGGTCAAAACCATTACGATCACCTCGATCACTCCGGTCACCGCCACGATCTCCATCGCGGAAGCTGCCACGACCTCCACGACCTATACCAGGACCGCCGCCGGAACGCTGATTGTTACCAGATCGATTGCCGCGACGATCTTTCGAGTCTGCACTCAAGCCACCGCCTCCGCCTCCGCCCAAACCAGTAGTACCACAGTTGTCCCAATCGCCGTCAGAAACAGCAGTGTCAATCTGCTCCTTGTTCTGCGATTTGTTCTTCTTCTTTTTGGAGGTCGTGGCGAATGCTCCGACCGGAAGGGTTTCAAGAAGGAAAATCACAGCACGGTCCAGATCATTGTCACACTCCTGAAGAGCGCAGCAGACCTCCTCCTCCGAACGTTGCGTTGTCTCCATCAGTTTCTGGATCTTCTCCTGTATCTTAGGATCGTCCATTCCACTTTTGATGTCTGTGATTTGAGCAATGCGAATCTGTTCGGCTGTCGGTTGCTTCGTCTTGATTGTATGTGTGGTCGTCTGTTGGTGCTGCTTGTCCTTGGAGTCACCGCCCTTGGAACCGCTGTTGTCTGAGCCCTTCTTCTGTTTCTCGCCGCCGCTGGAGTTGTTTGTGGCGTTGGCCTTCTGCTGCTGCAACTGTTGCTGCTGCGGCTGCTCGTCCGTGCCAGCATTCTCTTTGTTCTCCTTGTTGGCTTTGGACTTGTTGCGGCCACCGCCACCACCTCCGGAACGGGTTTGTGTGCTCATCTCCGCTATATATACAATTGTATTTACAAAGTAGCTGAACGAATGCAAGTGAAAATTAGGTCAGTGCTGATGGTTGCGGTTGGTATGACATGGGATTTTAAAAGTTAAATTCCATTCATGTTTTATCATTTGCTGCTTTGCCGTTGTTTGGAGGTATTAGGAGTTATTGTTCAAAAGAATAGTAGTAGATTTATAGCTATTTTCAAAACCTCAACATTAATACCAACCGGTTGGATTGATTGATTTATCTTTATTTAGGAGGCTTTCAGCCTGAGGCTGGTTCGCCTCCAAAAAATACCAACCGGTGGAAACTAACGATTTTAAATTTATTGGCTAACGTGAACTGCGAATTGATCGATGTCCATGTTCAACTTTTTGTATTCGCTTTCTTTGGCTTAAACATCGACCACCAGATCGGGTGTGAGTTGAATCGGTTGGTTGATTTTCTTTATTTGAGACTTTCAGCCATAGGCTGATCATCTGTGCTATGAATCGATACACTCGCGCCGTTTACCTAAACATAGCCTTTAGTATTCTGAACACTAGATTTGTCCCTTGAATTATGGTAGCGTTAGCAGTCTTCTTGATAACGACTCAAGCATAAATGCGAACCATTACTGGGTCTTATCAAAAATGGTTAAAAATTGTTTATAATCCCTGCTAAACTTTAAATGAAATGGTTATGAAACATTACATGAACGTTTGTGTGATAAAGTTTTAACCTTGTGTATTAAGGTTTTTTGGAGGTGAACCTTATAAAGAACAGGTTTGGTTGTTAAGAACCATTACCACTATTTCTTGATATCTTCATACATTTTCGGAAAAGGAATTGTATTAGAACCTTTTTATATATAATTTTATAACTTTAATGGTCAACGGTGCCGGTGGTGTAGTGGTAAGCGTGACTACCTCTCACCCCAGCAGGCCTGGGTGCAATCCCAGTCGGCGCCGCCGGGATGTTCTGAGGCATAACATCTCTGATCACGCCTTCGGAAGTAAATCCGTTGGTCCCCGGTTCATGAGTTGATGGGTCGATAGGTAGGGTCCAGGTGTGGGAGCTGCCTTCCTGGCGCGTCGGTAGCATTGGTGCTCAGCACGGAAAACAAGATCGACGGAAAAAACAAACCAAAGGAAAAAAAATAACTTTAATGGTAACGGTTATGGTTGTCAGTAAGGTCCATTGATGGTTTTGTAACATCGATCAACTTTATGTTGAATATATCGCGAATAGGTTACCTGTAAATTAATGATTACCAATTCGCGATATAGTGGTTTTGGTAATGGTTCTTAACAACCCATTATTTGTAAGGTCCACTTACAAAAAACACAATACAAAAGGTTAAAACTTTATCACACAAACGTTTATATAAAGCCCCATACCATTTCAGTTAAAGTGTATCAGGGGTTGTAAGCATTTTTCAACCATTTTCGGTAAGGTCAAGTTATGGTTCGCGTTTATACGGGTTGTTCAAGTTATAAAACGGACACACACTTTCAGTCTCAAATTTTTTATTTGACTACTTAAGCTTAATTATTTCCAGGGCAAGTTTTAAGCTCTACTATTAAGCAACATAGATAAAATTATAAACAATATATTTGAAGCAGCATATAATTTATACGAAATTTTAAATCAAATGTGTATATTTTTTTTTAATTCTTTATTAAAGAGATTTTTAGCCTTACCCCCTTATTCTGCGAGTCACGTGACTCTCTCTCACCGGTGAGGTGACAATTGTCACCTCGTGTGAGGTGACTCTCCATGCAAATCAAATGGAGAGTCACCTCACACGAGGTGACTATTGTCACCTCACCGGTGAGAGAGAGTCACGTGACTCGCAGAATAGAGGGGTTAGGCTAGTTCATCTCTAAAATGTGTAAATCTTCCAATAACATGAAGGCCCCATGTTTCGATAACATCTTGAATCTAGAGCTCAAACATATGAGTTTTAGATTCTATGATTACCTGGCACTGATTTTCAATCAGTGCCTTAGGCTTCGCTACTTGCCCTCGTGCTGGAAGTTAGCTAAAGTTATACCCATCCGGAATCCTCCTTCCAGCTACAGACCTATCAGCCTTCTCTCAGGGTTATCAAAGCTTCTTGAAAAAGCGATTTACCGGCATCTTCTAACATCATCTGCCGACGAACTTGAGGAGCAGTTTGGCTTTCGACAAGGTCGGTCGACCAACTGACTCGAGTAAGCAATATTCTCAGATGGAACAAGTCTGTATTTGAAACATCTGCTATGGCATTGTTGGACATTGAAAAACCGTTCGACAATGTCTGGTATGATGAGCTAGTGTACAAACTACAACGATACGGTCTTCCAATCTTCCTTGTGAAGATCATCCAAAATTACCTTTCAGACAGGACATTCCAAGTTTCTCTCAATGGCATCACTTCTGACGACTTCAGCATTCCGCAAGGAAGTATCCTTGGGCCCATCCTCTTCAACTTGTTTACCTCCGACATTCTGGCTCGCCGAGATGGTCGAAAATTGTCGCTGTTTGCAGATGACACATCCATCGTCTACAAGAGAAGGGTCATCGGAGCTCGTACTGCCAAACTTCAGAGAGGCTTGGTTGTCCTGTCTGAGTATTTCAACAATTGGAAGATCCGTATCAACGCGGCAAAGACCCAGGTCATCCATATTCCCAATCATCAAGACTAGTTACGTCTGAAAATAATAAGATCCGCTTGAACGGGTCAGTGGAGGAATGGTCTAAATAGGTTGTGTACCTCGGACTAACACTAGGCAGTAAGCTTCTTTTCAGGGAGCACATTGATAAAACTAACACCAACTGCAACATCTTGATAAGATCACTGTGTCCGCTTATCAACAGGAAGTCCACCTTATCCCTGAAAAATAAGCTTGCTGTCTATAGACAATTAATCCTACCTGTTACTGAGTATGGTATGCCAATCTGGGAGAGTTGTTCCAAATGCCATCATCTGTAAACTGCAACTGCTAAGGATCCAGAACAAGCTCCTTAGGATGATCCTAAGCAGTCCCCCGCGGACTTGAAACTCTGAAAGCCACCTCCTGGTTGGAATTCAGACATTAGGAGAGTATTCATCCTGGAAAGGTTCAGAGACACCTGTCTGAGATCAGATCAACAGATCATACGTGATCTAGCACGTTAGGTTAAGTTATACTCGTAGATAGGTAGGTTATCACATTTTTTCAATTTAAACAAAACACACCCCCAACAAAGGGGTATTCTGTAAACTAGTTGAAAAACGTAAATATTAAATTAGAATATTCAATGAAAGAACGATGAAGAGCCAGATAGCGAAGACATCATATCAAGAAGACTGGCAACTCTTCCATTTTATCATACGAACACTATGAGACAGGTACAATCGCGTCATCTGCCGCTCAAAGGTAAATGCTTCGAACGAATTTGATAGCAAAGATTGCATATCCTAGGAAGAAAGGTTTGTGTATTTGCTCATTTTTCTATGCGTTGCTTTCACCTTCACTCAAGCGCAGCGCTATTGTATCTGTCGCTTGGATTCTGGCAAAGTTGCCAGTCTTCTTGATTTGTTGTCTTCGCAGATAGGCTAATCAATTGAAATGTTAAATCAATGTTCAATCATAATCAACAGAAATAAACGTAATTTTAATATTTTTCCTACTAAATAACATGTGCTCTAAAATGCAATTTTTAAACTCATGTCAATATAGGTACCTTGAATACCAGGATAAATTTTGCAATTGTGTCAAACCAGATATTTTTTTTATTTCAGCTCTTCGAGAAGATGATACACACCAACTAAATAAATATGAATTTCCTAAAACAAAGCGTTTGTACAATTTTGAATAATTTTCGATGTAATTTTTCGTCCCAAATTTACAACTTTGGAAAATTGACAATAGTATCTAAACAGTTTTGATACTTCCTAATACCGTTATACCTAATACCACAGACAAACAGACATAACACAAGCAAGATGTTCATCGAACAAGCATTTATGGGTCAATTTAAAAGTATCTTAGTTGGTAGTACCGCCACCTGTGGCGCGCATAGTCAATTCCCTTCCGTTTGACGTTTTCACACTACCGCTATCTGTTCAGCGTACTACCCACCACAGTGTACTCAGCAGATGGCGGATATGTTTTAGCGACGATGTTTTACAGTGAGACATATTCAATGTTTTATGTCTGTTTGTCTGTGCTAATACCATAAGTCTTCATTTAATTTGAGTTGAATTTACACATTTGAAACAAATAAAATAAATTTCGTTCTGACTATTAACTATGTCATCACACTTTTTCACATTTTTTTCTAATGAAATGATCTGAAACCTTGTTTATGTGCGAACAAAAAGATAATAGTATTGATGTATCTTATTGTTTTCCGGAGAGAAGTGCTTTTCCCGGTCATTTCAAATTCCCGGCTTTTTCCCTGTTTTCCCGAATAACTGGTCACCATGCTCAACGTGATTTAAAAATAATCCAAATAAATGTTGGGGATAATTTAAAGGGAATTCCGAGAGGATTCTTTGAGGAAAAAAAATCAGATGAACTCAGCAGAGATGAACTCCAAGGAAATTCTTATGAATATTTCACGGATTATTTTCCAAAGTTACTTTTAAGAGTATTATGGAGATCATTTTGAAGGAATTATCGGGAGAATACAATACCAAGATAATTGTAGAGTGAATTCCCTAGAAGAGGTTCCTAAAGAGGTATGCAGAGAATTGCTAAGGCAGTTATGGACAAAAATGTCAAGGGAATGCCAGTTATAATCGTATTAATTTTGGGATGATTCTAGGGAAATTCTTGAGAAAATTCCATAGATATTCTCTGAAGAGATCTATTTTCTAAAAATCTAGAAATTGTCTAGGTAATTCAGACATTGAACATTTTTGAAGAACACAGAAAATCAGGATTAGGTAAATATTTTAAGTTGTTCGAAAAATATAAATCAGTTTGCTTACACAGCAATAGGGGAAACAAGTACAAATAGTTAACAAGTTAACAGGATTCGATCAAAATATATAAAAACATCTTTTGAGATGGCAATCAATTCTCGGTTATTTCCCGGTTGGTTTCGATTCCCAGTTAATTCCGTTGTTCCGGTTGAGTGGCCACTGGTCACCCTGTGAGTAAAACCTAGAAGCCTTGCGGGTCTCTGGGCACGATACAGGATAAGTCCCCAGGCCATGTTTAGAGATCTTATGGGTTGACCACTAAGGATGGACGCCTTTAAGTTGCCTTTTGAGTCTAATTCGAGGGTGAATCAACTAAGGATCCCTTACGTGTAAATTTCGAACTGATTGTATCAGCTCCTCTTGGTGATTATACTTATTATTGAACAGCATAGAAGAATATTTTAAAATATGATCCATATATACTGGCAGTACAGTACTGCTGTTCCGAGTTCGGAGCAGACTAAATCAAGTTACGTTGTTTACAAGTAGGCATATTTTATCCATACACAACTAATTCTGAATTATAAACGTTTCGCAGAATCCAGTGTGTTGATGTTGGGGGTCATTTAATTTAGTGTAAGAGCCATGTATGCTAACCACAAGTAGGGAGGTAATCATTTCGAAAATTCTACATACAATTTTTGAATATCTGCTTTAGTCGATCTTTGAACTTATGATTGTATGCATCAACATTGAAAAATCAACCGCTCTGGAAGAAAAGCGAAATAAATTAATCGGTTTTAATCGACGAAAGCAGATAGGACCTATTCAAAGAGCAATCACGAATTTTAATGAGAAAATTGGTAACGAAACGGAAATTGCTTTAAGATCGACTCAACTCTAACAGGTTGCAGAAGGTATAATGGGCAAAACTTACTAACCGAAAAAAAAGCTTCATCGTTTCGATTGAACAACATTAAACAAAAGTTTAACTATTATTATATACAATCTACATATTTGTACATCTTCTCAGTAGATGCCCTACCTATATTGTAGATCAGTTTACCGTAATCCGAGCATTGAACTATAACTGAAAACGAACTCATCCACGGAGTGAGTTTGCCTAATCGGTTGCAGTAAATCTACTACGCAAAAAGATTAATACCTCACCTACCTCCGGAACGGCAGCAACTTTCATTTCAAAATGATAAAACATGAATATTTGGTGTTGAACTGAATACAGTGGATGAAAACTATAACAGCAGCGCAGTAGCAAACTCCAGCTATGTACGGTTAATTAATTTCTTATTTCTGCTGCACCTTGTCCTCTCCCTCACTCACGATACAGTGGTGTTTTTCCCGAAATTAATTTCACCGTGTCTATTGCTGTGCTTCTTCGTTTGCCTATTGTCCGGTCTCCGGCCTTCCGGGATTCACTGAGTACTACTAACAACACGATTAGATACCTGCCTCTGGCCGCGAATGAACGATGGGTGAAAAATACACCCAAGTCGTTCGTCTCTCACTCTCACACATCAAAGAAGGGGCCGGACAGAAGAAGTGAGTGGCAGAGGGGGTGTGAAACCCACCCATTTCGCTTGACGGATGGACGCAACAAAAACACATTGTAAAAATGGAAAAACTTCCTCGGAAAGCCGGAACGTCATCCGGAACAATTGCGCTGCAACGACGTCGATGGTCTCACAGGAAGGAATATCTCCATCGACTTTTGATTTCTGGGCCGTTTCCCTAGCAACCGAATGGCCCATAATTGCGTGTTTCGAGAGCGCATTTCAGAAAACCATGGAAAGAATCAAGTGAATGATAAAATTGCGAGACGCGAGCGAATACAGGGAAAAAAAAGATGAACGACGTCGTCGCAAACGTTGGACAAAGACCGGAACAGACTAGCAGCAGCAAGCGAAGATTTTCACTGTTGAAATCGATTTTCATCCATTGTGGCCACCATTTACCAATAGTAGGAAGTGCTCGTGGGCTATTGGTGAACATGAAACGCTATCTTTTCCGGTCGGAACTATTCACTACACTTGAGGAAATTCCACACTCGCGAACTACGGAGAAAAATGGACCATGTGCCAAATTTTACTTTCTGCTGGCTGCCAGTCGTATTTGTCTTCTTCTTCTTCTTCCTTCTCCTCCTACTGCTTTTGCTCAATGAGGGAAGGTGTATGGCAGAGAATAGTCGCCGTTTCGTAGTAGTGGAGCGAACGAGGAGAGTAGATTCTTCTCTTCGCCCAAACGCGAAGATTTCTCTCACAACAACCGTGGACGCCATTACTATTAAAATGTAATAGCAAATTTTGGCCAGGAACTCGCTCAACGAGACACGGAGAATGAGTAATCAGAGAGAATTAGCGGCTTGTTTTGCCAAAGGGGAGAACCGAAGAAGAACCGTAAGGTGTGTCAGTGTTGCCAGTATAATGCCCAGAGCAGGAAGTACACTCAATGTATCATTAAAAATTAATCAGAAGGATTTTTGTTTTATTCAACGCAAACCCTAATCGAAAACCATAACAAGTGCTTAAGGACGTGTTCGGGGTATCATCATTTATGGAATGGTTCTACTATTTCAGTTATCGTTCGTTTATGGCATTTGTTTATTAGGGATGCAGAGTCGTTACATGAACACGAAAGAAAATCAAACTGTTTTCAAAATAACGTTTAACTATGTCGTTCCATATTTTTTTATGTTATGGCTAAGACATTGTTGATCCATCTCACCTTGTTTTCATTTTTGCAGCATAGCGCGCTAATTATCAACAATTCAGCATTTGTTTATAAACATATCTGCAGTCGATGTTCAAAGTTTGAACACATTTTATGTACATCGGGTGTAAGCAGTGTACCAGTGTACGAAAATACAAAAACGACATTGAATTAACGCATACGTGCACTACTATATCTGTCCCATGTTCCAAAAGTTGCATAAGAGAAAAAAACGATTAACATGAGGGTAGGGGAATTTACATATTCTTGTCAATCTAAGCAACGTCAGCGCTTCTATTAGAATATTCTCAGCGTCACGCACACAAGACTTGTTTGTTTGTTTACATTTATTTGATGCTTGCTTCTCTATCCATTCCAAGAAACAGAAATGTCCAAAACTGATTGAAAACGTTTTTACAACGCTCCAACCATCTCAGGTGAGTGTGACTATTGTCGGCAGCCTTTCCATTTGAACTGTGTTAACTAGCTGTTCGATTATTCTATTATCACTTTGGGAACAATGTGGACTGCTTTCTTTCGGAGTTGAGTGTTCAGTGTATACTCATCTAAATGCGTTCGCGTCCATATATGTTGTGAACATTTGAGCGACTAAATTTACAAAAGTACGTTACGACGTCAGATATTGCACAGAAAAAAAAAGTTGTTGAATATTACATTCAAACTGCTTCAAACAGGTCAATCCATCGATTGTGTAATATAACGTTGAACGATGTACATCGATTTTGCGAACAAAATTACATCCATTGATGTAATATTGTATCTACTTTTTGCTATTACATCATGATTTCATACATCAGCTTGAATTACATTGATCGATATTACATTTTTTTTTTTGCTGTGTGTGACTCTGCAAATAGTAATAGGTTCGCAACTTATTTTTGATTTATAAAAATCAGAACAGAAGAATTTCCTCAACCCGATGTTGTTGCTGGATTGCACAACCTTTGATTCTCACAAAATTCATAGGCTCTTTTCAAATGTTACGAGAGAATACATACCTCTAAAAAGTTATGCAAATTACTTTAATTTTGACGAAAAAATTAACAAAAAACACTTGAATTTTCACACATATCTACGAAAACAATTGCCTATGAGAATCTTAGACTTGACGGTGATTGCAAGTTCACAACGCCACCTAGTGGTGGAAGTGTGAAGACATGGTGTTTCTCCATACATTTTGCGGATTTTTGCCATACAAACTTCAACCCCCGGGTAAATATTAACTGATTTCGCTCAAATTTGGACCAGAGCCTCAGTTATACCCGTTCACATTACAGCGTATATCACGTGATATACGCTGCCTTGCAATGAGCTCCCATACATCTAGTTTTCACTGGAAATCCTATGTATGAGTGCTCATTGCAAGACAGCCTATATTACGTGATATAGGCTGTAATGTGAACGGGGTATTATAGGCCTAGGTAACAAGTAGCTCCGTGACGCGGAGGATTGTCGAAAAAAGCTCAAAATTCTGGGCACCCTAATATAAATCTATACATTTTCTATCTCAAACTTTCGTTTTTGTTCTTATATTGCGCATTACGCGTAATATTTATGCAACTGATTGTGCGCAAACACTTTTAGAAATACGATTTTAAGTGAATTTTTGTTGGTGCCTTCTGCGCACTTTCTTATGAGCACATAAGTGCATGGGACACCAAAAATAAATAACTTTAAACAGTAGTTTTATAAGCGAATAGTGTGCGCGATGGGCAAAACATCCTTCCTTATTTACATTTTTGCAAATTCCTTTTTTTCTGAACGTGACCTTTTTTTTTACAGTTAAGAGATTATTTTGACAACCGTAGGTGCTAAGATGCCTAAGATCCCACTTTTTTAATTTAAATTTTTGCATAATTTCATTGTGTATTTGCAGTTATGTTCAAGTTCCACTTTTCTGAGTGTCAACAACAAAAAATAGTCACCCCTATTCTGTATTTCGTTTCGAACGAAATTCTCATACAAAAAAATATTTTTTTGTATGAGAATTTCGTTCGAAACGAAATACAGAATAGGGGTGAGTATGTTTTACATGTACTAGATATATTTACGTACATTCTGAAAACTCGAAACAGGATCTCCTTTTAGAAAGCTCTAGCACTTTTGATTTGATCGATCTTAAATTTCGCACTTACTGCTTCCACCTTGGAACATAACTTTTGATTTAATTTACTCTTTTCATCTAATAGGACTCTTTTGTTCACGCGCTTTTAAAAACAAACCAGTTTATACAGCTCACGTTGCTGGTAAATAAATACGCATTTTCGCGTGAAATTACGAACAATACGGACAATTTGTTTGACCCAATGAAAATACTAATGACAAATGATAAGATATCATTGATAGCCGAAGGTCAATCTAAAAATAATTAAATGCGTAATAATTTGTTGATAAGTCAAAACAAGAATACCTATACACGAAACGATCAATGGGCATCTCTGACAACACTGACTCTGACCGAAGGGATGAGTCAAACCTGAAGGGTGAGAACCTCTCTCCGGGTACCGTTCCTCTCTCCCACACCGGCTTCCTCTTACCGCAGCACACACGACTACTAATCGGCCTGTTTGTGTAAGTATAGGTTTCATACTCACGGCAGAAGCAGTCACAGGCAAACCGGAGCGCACCGCCGCACACACAAGAGCAAGAGATGGGGAAAAATCCTTACAAAAGATGATCCACAGAGTGGAAAAGAAAAAATGGGAAAGTCTAGTCAAGACGCGGACGCAAATTTCACTTCTATCTTCGATCGGCCACTGTCGCAAATAGGCACAAAGCACAGATCTCCCTTTCCGTCACGTTTTAGTAGTAAATTTAATACCTAATTTCCACTTTTTCAACACCAAAAAAGCAAATGAAAAACTGTTGACTAATAATGATGTCTGAACGATAGGTACCTGCAAATGCGCTTTAATACGCACGTCGAACGTTTGCACTACTGTACAGCTCTCTCTCGCACTCTCTCGTGGGGCGAAAACTAACGGGGAGAGCAGACCACTCAGACCTACCGAAACATTGCACTACTTTTGCATGGTCGACATAACGAGGGGTATATAAATTCCTCTAGTTGAATTATGGACGACTGTCACCAATGAGGTCCCTAATAAACAAATACCATAAACGAACTGTATCCCGGGGGTTGGTGTGATACCCCGAACACGTCGTTAAGCTCTGTTTTATGGTTATTTTTATTAGGGGTGGATTACCGAGTTGAAGCAATCGCTTAAGTTGTTGAGTAAAACCCGTGTAGCCCCGTAACGTGGGTAGATCACCTTTTCGTGGTACGTTACGGGATATAAGATCTACCACCGATTCCTAGTCCCGACTACTTCAAACTAGGGGAAAAGGATTTTTCAGTAATCCAAGGAACACATCTTAGTCCTTGTTACTTTTTATGCCTTGTTGATAGTGACAAGACTCGGCTTTGTCTACCAAGGATGATCTTGAAACAAGGCAAAAAATGAGTTAGTTGTCTTCATCTATGTGATTCCTAATCTTCTCTTCGTTGTTCCCTAGTTTGAAGTGGTTAAGACTAGGGTTCTGATGCATGGTCATTATCGGTGTCATACCTTAATTTTGTTGCTAAGGAATCCAATTTTGACTGACAAAGGGGCGTGCCTTTGGAGGGTGTTTCAACACTCCGAAGGGTATAAATAGCGGGACCTTTCAATTAGACTCGGATCCTTGCGATAAATGCAAGAGTGGCAACTGTAAAAAAAATCGAATGCTTCATCATTTCTCAATAGTGATGGAGTAATACGACATGCACTAAACTAAGGACACGGGATATACTACAATAGATCAATTTACTGGTCGCAGTAGTGTTAGGTCCCGAACAGAGGAAAAAAAAAACCCGTGTTCGATACAAGCAATTAGTGACGTCACTAATTGCGTTTACGTTGAATTTTTGGTTTGCTAATACAACAATATTTTACGATCTGCATTGGACTGTCACCAAAAAATGGAAAAAAAGCTGTTCCAATCAAGGTGACTACATTTAGGTGTTCTAATGTGTCAAATTCATGATTCAGCCATGTTGGATTTTTGTATGGGACAGCGACTGAGTTTGTTTACAATTTGCTCTAAAACCGCACTTTATACGCCACCCCCACCTCCCCGTGACCTCCTCGCCTATACACAGCAAAAAAAGTTGTTGAATATTACATCGAAACTGCTGCAACCAGGTCAATCTATCGGTTGTGCAATATCACATTGTACGATGTACATTGATGTAATATTGTATCTGCTTTTTGCTATTACATCATTATTTCATACATCAGCTTGAATTACGTTGATCGATATTACATTTTTTTTTGCTGTGTATAGTGACAAAGCTGTACCACCATTTATATACCCACCATGGTTCCAATCGAGCAAAGCGGTGCATTTTGTTGGCCTATGGATCTAAGATTGGGCCCGTCGCTAAAAATCTGTTATGAAATTTAATCTAGATGAACGCGTCATTGGGACGGTACTAATGGATATTTTTGGTTGCTATCGAAAATTTAGTCGATTGCTGAATTTACACACCAAATTTAAATCGCTGGACATCAGCAAAATTTTGCTGATTTTAGACTTCCAACAGCAAACGTTCCAGCAAAATAATGCTGCAGAATTTTTCAGCAATTCTAACTTCATTTTGACAGATAACCTTTTACTGAAAATCAGCAATTTTTCTTTACTGATCTTTCAGCAACTAAAAGTTTTGACATTTGGCAGCATTTTGCTGATTAAACAATTAAATTCAGTAAATCGAATTTGTTTTCACTATATGAGCTTCCAGCTTCTGTAAATATACGAATAATAAAGATAAAACCGCCAGACTCCTTTCCAAGTATCGTTTATTAAATATAACCAGTGTCCGAGCCAGTGTCCCTACCTACATAATTTTATCTATTTTGTAGTTTTTTTAGCTCTTCCTCCTCCTGCGGTTTGAATGGTGGTGTACGAATGCAAAAATACTTGCGACTGTGATGCTAACAGTTTGACAGCTCTTTTACTGGGTGTTAGCAACAATCAATACGAAAGTAACGATTTTAAATTGGCTCACTACTTGACTAGCCTATTGGTCCCAAGCAAACGATTAACGTTCCCCATTCTAGTCGAAATTCTATTACTACGCAATGTTTGTTTTGATTCGCTATGAAAATTTGACAGATAAAATGAGGGGTTATTGGTTTTTCCTATGTTTCGAGGGGTGAATCGATTAGCTTGGGACCGAAGAGAGTACCAGAGCTGAACCAAAAAGTTGAGCACGTCATTTCGGGACCTTCTAGTCTTAGAGTTACCTCTATGGTGTTAGTTAATGTTAGCTGATGTTTTCAGTAAAAATATCGTTTGCTGTTTTTCAGTAAAGCATTGGATTGCTGGTCATGATCCAGCAATCCGTTTTACTGATATTGAAAACATAAATTTGGTGTGTATGTACGGGCCCAAATTAGGGACACTTAGGCTGACATTACAAACATTTCCCCAATATGTGTCGGACAAATAGTTCTTTATGCACGGATAGAAATCTCCTTATACCTTTTGGCAAATTTCTATTGCTGATTATTCATAAAATGTATACGTCAACTAATAAGCAGACGCCTTGCAAAAAGTTAATGAAGATCATGTGTCAAATAAAATGTATAAATGATCACACATACCGTTTATGCATTCTTATAGGACGTATTTGGTTTGTCTTATGGAATGTATAAGGCTGATGTTTTGGCAAAAAATTATAAGTGAATATGATTATCATGTAAGTCGAAGTGATTTTCTTGGTGTTTTATTTTGTTCACCAAGAGATTTGACCTCCAGTTTTTATTCATTTTGTTTATTCGATTACGTGAAATTGTTGAATGCTACGAAGAACACAAGTAAGTAAATGCAGTGATGGTGTTTTATGTTTGTTTAAAATCATGAAATACTTGCTTAAAATTTTCGAATAGCTTGTGTGTGAATGTATGTGTATACTAATGATGATAATTGAAGAATATTTAAAAAAAACAAGAAGAATCCTAATTGACTGACTGTGTTTTGAGCCTTAAGGAAGTCGAGAAGTGATCTTTCCCTGTCTGAGTCATTGGATAGTGCGTCTCTGACGCTGAGACCGATACCGTATTGGTCTCGGAGGCTTTGATGTGCAGGGAAATTTATTATGAGATGCTCAACTGACATTTTGGTTGAGCACCCCATACATTGCTTGTGGAATCCATCACGGGAATCGGGATCGTGTGAGAATCTGGTGTAGCCGCAGCGTAATTTAGACAGTACTCTCTGGTCCTTCCAGTTTTTGGAAATGAAAATTACTTTGACCCGCTTCACCTATTTTTGGGTTCCTGCACTATAGTACCGAGATGAGTGAAAAGAACTTATTTTTGGGTACTTTTTTCTTACCGTGTAAGGTGCTCGGTAATCAAAAATTACCACAAATTATTAAAATAATTAGTGAATTGTGAATTACTCAGTAATTTCAATGTAATACAAATAATTGTGGGTAATTTCAGTAATTCCTACCATAGAGGTAACTCTAAGACCAGACGGTCCCGAAGAAATGAGCTCAACTTTAGCGAATCAAAACAAAAATAGTGTAGTACTGGAATTTATACTAGCATGTGGACCAATAGGCTAGTCTAGTAGTGAGCCAATTTAAAATCGTTAGTTTCGTATTGATTGTTGTTCCTACTGCTTGGAAATTAATTTGGTAATTTTAAAAATAAAAAAAAATAAAAAACAGTAATTCGAGTAATTCAATAAATATTTGTATGCTGGAATTATCATATGCTTTATTATTCTATGTAAATTCAACGATTTAACGAATATAGATATTAAAAATGAAGATCTGAAAAAAATTAGGGGCCACATTATGCAACCCTCGATGCAACCAAATAAAAGCGACTTTTTCATATTAGGGCTTTGTTCCATTTGGTGATTTTTCAATTAAATTTGACACTTCGAAAATAAATTAAGATGTTCGAAAATCCCTCCGTTGTTGATCTTCCTATTTTCGAGAAGGTGTTTGTCAAAACTGAATCCTGGTCTGTCAGAAATAAGTCTGGTACAATAGCAGGTTTATTTTAAAATTTTCCATCTGTCAAATTTAAGTGAAAATTCACCAAATGGAATACAGCCTAGGGGCGATCCATTTATTGTGTCACGCTAAATTGAAGAAAAATTAACCCCCCTCCCCCTCTTTCGTTACGTTTTTCCTATACCTAATGCATTGCTTGTTAAAAAAATCATTATACCCAATAATGAGTTAAACCACTTTACTTCAAATTAGGTCAAACTTTACGCATTCATGAGAACTTTCAAGCTTGCGTGTAGCATAAATCATATATGCAGTGTTCATTCCCCCGTTAAATTTAGTCGACATTCGCAAATCGAAGAGCGAACTGTCAAAATTTTCTGTTCCGAACCCGAACACTGCTCATCGTGCTCACGTCGCGAGAACCAGAGTGGAACAAACGGAGCTTAAACCAAAACACACCAAAATCAACTCGGCTTCAAGTTTAATCGATTTTTTTTCAATATCGTAACCGTGTTACCGGTTTTAAACCTTCTTCGGAAATGCCTCTAATCCCTGCGAGTGGAACCGGACGCTTTTGGGCTCATTCGGCGAAGATAATTCGCTTTGCACGGCACGGATGCACCAACAGACCCTTCTTTCATATTGTCGTTATGGAGGTAAATTTGACTTGCACAATATTATTTTTTCAATGCTAGATGATTCGAGAAATTGCCGATAATTTCAGCGACGGAAAAATCAACATCAGCCCGTTATCGAACAAATCGGAACCTACGACCCAATGCCGAATGAGCATAACGAAAAGCTGGTTTCCTTTAACTTCGAGCGCGTGCGCCACTGGTTGGGGAGTGGAGCTCATGTTTCGGCACCCGTGGCCGAGTTGTTAGGTAACAGATTTTTGGTTTATTTACTGAGAAAATAACACCAACAGAGGATGGTTTTTTTATAGGTATTGCTGGTCTGCTACCGGTCAATCCGCATACTTACATGAGTGCATGGAGGAACCGGCAAATCGCTGAAAAAACTGCAGAACTTGCCGCGGCTAAGCAACATGCCGAGGGAACTGCCGAAGCTAGCAGTTGAAAAAAATGTATGATAACGTTAGTTGTAGTCATTTGTTTATAAATATACCAAAACTGTTTCAACCTTGATGGATTATTATTTGGAACATTTGGACAGGAATTGGAATGAGAGCTAGGTGACATTTTTCTGTCATCAGTTTGGTACGTATATTAAAAATAAACCATTAATCCACGATGATCCATGATATAGGTTATTTTTTCAGTCATCCCACGGTTATTAACAATTTCTTAATTCAATCTCTCACTCTTTACAATTCGGTCTAATGACACATTCAGCTCAATAGTGTTCAGCCTAGTGATCATACACATATTTCACGACTAGTTCCTCAGTAAGTTCTGGGGCTTTGTAAACATAAGAGGTTTCAAGCTGAGAATATTTTCAGGATAATATTCAAGTAAATTTCAAGCAACGGAAAGAGTAGGCTGTCTTTTATGAATTTAATGAGAATCCCATAATTATTTTGAGTTAGAATACCAAGGTAATTGCAAGGAAAAAATGTTGATTTTAAATAGATTAATATTAAATCGTTAAATTAAAGAATATGAGAGAGAGCGAGTGTGATTTTATCTAAATTCATATTTTTCTCAGACACAAGTGAATACTACCTACCTGCAGGTTTGCTTCCACTCACTGCTATAAAAAATGTTTTTCGGAATTATGAAATCATTAGATGTTATAATGATAGTTAGTAATTTTAAGTAGAGCTGCACAGAATAGTGCTATTCGGCCTAGTATTCGGTTTTAACATGGAAAATTTTGCTGATATTCGGCCATTTTCTTACAAATGAGTGGTCGACAACACGTTTGATCGAGTTACTAGTTCTCCATTGACACTACTCACATGCAAAAAAATAATGCACATGCAAAATCATAAAATCGCTGAATATAATGCTCTGAATGCGAAATTGGAAGGTTTTGTGTGTCAAGCACATACTTTTCAACCTCGTCTTGTAAGTGTACAAAATATCATAAAGGGTATGGTATTCACAAAGCGCATAGTCAACGTATACACCCTCGTAACTGCGTAAACTCCAATGGACCCTGGTATTTTTACGATAGTGTATATGTTTACGATGCACATAGTGAAAACCCCTATTATAATGCCGGGGATACACTTGTATGACAAACTATGAACATGACCATTATTTGTATAATAAACTATGAGCACATCAATGGTCACACTTGTATAGTATTTGTATAGTTGCTGTATAGTGCTCAAGTGCTCATAATTATTATACAAATAATGCTCACGTTCATAGTTTTTCATCCAAGTGTATCCGCGGCAAAACAATTGTTTATAGCAAGTGAGTGGAAGTAACCCTGCCTACGTGTATGTTTAGCTCAATTCACATTATTCACAAGTTTTAATTATTTTTAAATTTTTCAAAAACTGCACGTAGGGTAAACGAAAGAGCGGGTTTGAGCCTGAATAGTCGCTGAAAGGAAAAATTAAATCAGACACATTCTACCCAGTATGTACAATGCTCAAATCAGAAACTGCGCAGTGGTGTAATACCATAGGGTGTCTACAAGCTTCAGAAATCTAGAAAACCGGGAATCTTCAGGAAACTTTTTGATTCCTTAAAATTCCTGGTAGCCTCAAGAATTTCCAAATTTTGAACTTTATATTTTCACAGTGGATTAATATTCAGTAACAAATAAATTTAAAAAAATACAGAGGCTTGAAATGTTTTTTGTTTTGTTTTGGAACATGCCTATTTCCTAAAAAAAAAATATTTGAACTAGTTGTGGACTTTAAAGCTATAATACCTCGAGAATTTTTCAAGAATCTGGAGTCAAATTCCATGCACAGTTTTAAAGACTCGAGGAATTTTATTATAATTTTTAAGGACCTCATTCCAAGGGAGCTCTGGAAAAAAAAAACCATTCAGAAAAACATTAAATGCAATCTGCTTTCAATGTTAGTTTTGAGCAGAATTTCAAGAAACCCTGAAATTTTAATTAAAAATCTTAGGAATTTATGAGGAGCACAACTCTTGTGGACTACATCGGAAATTCCAAGGGCATTCTGAGGATAATTTCATAAAGTTTGTGGGAAACAAACAATCCGGAGCACAAGTCCATGGATTTTTTTTTTTGAAAATATTAAAAGGAGGATTACAATTGAATCTGAGAATAACTCCAGGACATCTCAAAGAAATCAGGAAAATAAATTCAGGAGAGTTTGCCGCCGACCAAATTATGAGAAGAAATCTAAGGAATTTGTGAGGAGAAATGCCCATGTTAGGAAACTTTCAATGTGAGTAGAATTCCAAGGGAAGGAGTGAGATTCAAAAGGAAATCTGAAATGAATTCAATCAATAGTCGGAGAATCTTTCCAAAGGGTTTCTAATTATTAAGAACTTCAAGTTAATTCCGAGGAAAACTTAAAGAAAATTTAATCTGAGGATAGCTTCATCGAGATTTTGAGGAATATTTCAATGGAAAACTCCATTGAATATGGAATGGACTACCACTTGAAAGTTCTCAAATTTTTCCTGACGTTAATGAAACTGTCTTCAAGTTCTTTGTAGTTTGAGAAACTAGCCTGCTGCTCACAATACTTCTCATCCAATTCTGAACTTTATAGGACATCCTAAAGTTTCATCAATTTTTTTAACAATTATGGATCTCCTTTAAATGATTCAAAATTCACTGAAGTTCTCTAAACTTCTTTAAAATTTATGTGATTTCTCTGACGGAACTGCTCTGAGTTCTCAAAACTTCTCTAACGTTTTTGCAGTTCTCATGAAGTTTGTTGTACTGCGCTGAATTTAATTGAATCGTCCTAACAATGTTTAAGCTTCAGTGAACTTCTGAACTTATGTGAAGACCTAAAAAAACGTTTAAACGTCTCTGAAGTTATCTGAAAATCTGGGAACTACTTTACTTTCCCCATTAATTTTCTGAAACTAATTGAACTGACCGCCCCCTGAAATTCCTACAACTTTCGAAGCTTACTAAACTTCTTTTAAATGCTCTAGCATTTTACTAACGTTCTTAAAATTTCCTGAAGTTCGCGGATCTCATCTTAAGCTCCATAGATTTCTATGAAGTAATGTTTCTGAAGACCATTGTCCTTCTGTGAGGTTTCGGAAGTTTTTCTAAATTTCTGGAACTTTTGTGCTTCCGCAATTTTCATGGAATTAGATTGAAATAATTAATATAGTTCTATAATTTTTACTGAAGTTTTCAAGATTTTTCTGAAGTTCATAAAACTTTCCTTAAATTATCGACACTAATTTAAAACTTCTTCAATAGTCTAGACTTTCCTGGTGTTATCAAAACTGCCTAAACGATTACTGTATTTCTTTAAAGTTCTCTAGACTGCCCTGAATTTATCAGTATTTTTTTTTAAGAACCCACAACTTTACTGAAATTAATTAATTTGCCTTGAAGTTTCGACAATTTTCCTTAAGTATTATAACCATTATAAACACTCACTAATTTTCCCTGAACTTATCTATGCTTACCTAAAGTTCTCTAAATTTGTTTAATAATCCAGCAAATTTTCTGATATATATTCATAATTCCCTGACGCTTCTGACGTATTCGAATTGATAGAATTCTTGGAATACCGTATTATTCCACGGAACTCCCAGTTAGTCGCTGCAAATTTGCTTAAGCTAATGGGATTATTCTGAAGCTATCTGGTCGTCCTCGAAGTACTCGGAACTTCGCTGAATATCGAAACTATCTAAAAATATCTAAATTTAGTTCTCTGCTTGTTAAAAGTTCTCGCATTTTTTTTATTAATGGAACTTCGTTGATGTTCTCTAATCAACTTAGCTAAATTTTGGCATTTTTTTTAAGTTCTTGAAATCTCCATCTCTCCAACACACCCTTAAAATACTCTCACGTTTTTCGGATGTTCATATAATTTGTATCACTGTCTTGATGTTCTCGAAACTTCCCAAAAGCTCATATTTCTTGAAGATTTCGGTTCTGCTCGGAAATAAAAAGAATTCCCGTAAACATCTTTAAATTTCCCTGAAATTCTCTGGACTTCTGTGAAGTTTCTGATATATTTCTGAAGGTCTCTATACTTTCCTGAAATTCTTAAGGGTTCTTGATTTTTTTTCAGCACATCATGGAATTATCCTGGATTTATCTAAATTTACGATTAAAGATCTTTAAATTGCTCGAAAAGTCTGGACTAAAGTTACGGGAACTGCTCTTAAGATCTGAAATTCCCCAATGATCTCTAGATCTAGCTTTTGAGGTGCTTAGAACTTCTTAAAAATTTACACAATAACCCTCAAGTTTTCTATATTTCTCAAGTTCGCTTGACACCTGTGAAGTTCTCTGAAATTCATTCATAACTCATAAAAGTTCCTGAAAAGTCTCGGATGCTAAAAGAACTGCTTTGAGGTTCTTAAAGCTTCATTAAGTTCCCCATATTTTCAGCGTGTTAACTTCCCTTATGTTCATGCAGTTTGTTTATGGATCTTCACTGAAATTCTCAGCATTTCCTTTTATTCCTCAGAACTTCTCCAAAGTTCCTACAATTGTTGTGAAGTTAATGGTACTGCATTGAAAATCTGTAATCTTTCATTAAATTAATTACGAACTTGAAATAAATCATTTATTTGTTTACTTAGGTAACTGTGGCACTTTGAAAATTTTCAATATCTTGAACTTGTACATGGAATACGAAACTTCAAGACATTGAATATTTTTAGATCTTGGACTTGGACTTGGAAACTCAGGTAATTTTATTTAGAAAAATAAGTATACAGGATTATAGAGAAAGACGATCAAACGTCAAAAAAAAATCAATCTTGAAATAAATTCACACTTAAAAAGTTGAAAATAGTGACTTATTACAAGAAAAAGTGACTTTAGTGACTTGGCCTTAAAAAGGAGAATTTTTATTAGTGGCTGACTTGAAAAAAAGTGACCAAGTCACTAAAAAGTGACTCGCTACCAGCCCTGGTATCAAGAAAAAGAAAAAAATCAGGCAGTAATCGATAAAAAAAACAAGGGACCAGGCGTACTTTGACAACTCTTACACCAGCAACTGAGGGAAGCAGTGAATTTCGACAAAAACATTTCCAAACCATTAAGTTCGAAGTTTAGAAGTTCTGGCCTAGATTTAGTATTCAGCAGCAGCTGAAGTCACTGTTAGTCCGTCTTAGGAAAAGCCGGTGTCTCCAAAATCTCTTGTCCAGATTGTAATAGGGTAGAGAACTACTTCGGCCTAATCGCCCATTTTGGGCCTATCGAGCAGAAAACTTCGAAAAAATCCATGATTTCAGAGTTAACAAGTCAATTATGCGTTTGGTACGATACTTTAGTTAATAAGCTACCGAACGAAGTCAATGAGAACACGTGATATGAAGGTTTGCACCCATTATTCCCAAAAACACAAGAAGCTCTCCGACCGAATCAATTTTTATCTTCATCCGATAGGCCGAAGTGAATTCAATTGCGTTTCTAAGCCGTTTCAATGCGTTAGGCCGAGTTTGGCGTCATGAAGCAGTGTTAGACTTTTGACAATATCTCAACGATTGGTTTCTCTTTTGGTACGTACGGAAAGGTAAATAAATTTGGAAGCCATCAGTAATAATGACGTTCCGTTTGGTACTAAACTGCGCTAGATTAAGAAAGACTAAGTGCGGGTTGTGCTTAATACGTCGGAAATGGGGTAGTTAACCCTAATACCTACATTGGTCAGACGAAAATGAACACATCGCAGAGGTAAAAATGGCTAAAAAAGAAATGGATAAAGGACTTCATTATGGTTGGATAACATATCTTTCCAAAGGGGCACAATTTTACAAAGGATTGTGATAAGTGCATATGCCTTGGAAACTAGAAGTAGCAGAAAGTTTAGAAATATTTAAACATAGTCCATCCACATTGCTTAATAGAGATCAAGGAAACAGATACTCGTAGAACACATCGTAGCACGTATTCTACCTGTTTTAGACTTAATTTAGGAACCCACCAAACTGGTTAGTTAAATTTGACATGGCAGTGGGGCGCCTGCTGATTTCGAGGCTGATTTATAGTACCTAAGACTACCTATACTGGTCTCAAATCCAAATTCATCTATGCAGCATCACAACAAATTGTTAAAAAAAATCGCGGAGCTCTAAATTCTTTTCTACAAATTGACTAGTTGTCGCTTCGCCGCGGTCCCTGGTCCCAGATTCAAACTCATTCATATATTATCATTGCAAATGATTGTTAACCATTTTCAAAAGGCCTGGATACAGATCGAAGCAAAGTGGAATTTCCATATAAAATACTCGGTTTTTCACCAGTGTGAAAAATGTATTTAACAAAAATTTCACTTCGCTTGGAACTGTAAACAGATGCGATCCAGTGAAAGCGAATTTTATGGATCGCATCATACTGAGAAACAAAGACGTTTTCAAAATGCGTCCTTAGACCAAATTGTAAACAGTGATTGGATTAAGAAATTGTTTTAGAAAACTTGAATTTAGTTACAAATGAAATCTAGGGAAAATTCTTGGAGACCTCGAAGAAGAAAATATGCTAACACTCCGCAGTCTGTACTATTAGAAATTTTAAGCATTTTGGAATTTAACGGGGCATCAAAATATACATTTTCAACTGTAAACAAAATAAATATGAAGACATTTGGTAACAAAATTGCTGAAATATTCTTATTTGAAGTTAGTGGTTAGCCGGCGCCGGTGGTGTAGTGGTAAGCATGACTGTTTTCTCACCCCAATGGGTCTGGGTTCAATCCCAGCCGAGGTCGGTTACACTGACTGTCTCCCGGGATGAGTCCTACGCTGTCGATGATCAATCGCGCCTAACATGGAGAAACAGACACGCTCAGGTTGGCGAAGCATTTGCACAATCTCTATCCACTTCAATATTTCTTTAATCGTTAGGAATGGAAATTTCTTTCAAATAAAAGCACAGAACGAGTCGTTTTTTGGTGGTATGTCTTTCATATCCTGTCTAATTCAATACGAAATTTTCAGTTAAAAATATTTGAACATACTATTCGTGTGTCTTTTCATTCAACCACATCCCTTGTAATGTAAAGCATAATAATCTTAAGTGCTGCTTCATGCTATGTTCTCATAGTTTCGATTTAATTTTTGCATTGTTTGACCATCAATCAATCAGTTTGAATTGCATGCTGTGTGTGTGTTCAACAAATAATGACATGATGATATGTCACTTTCAATAAATAGGTTCCATGACAGTGTTCGAACCATGTACTAGTAGACGGTTAAGGCAAGTGTGCACTGATGCTTCTGCTGGATAGCTGTTACTTCAAAGATTGTTGTTGCTGCTAACCAGTAAACTAATATTCCTACCATCCCTTTTAGTATTTGTCACGTTCTATTTTTTTCCGGTACCAATCTTATAATTCCCTAACGAATATATAAACATATTGTACAATCAATGCGCAATGATGCAAGTATTTTGCTGACTTGGGCAACAAGGGGAAAATGCCTAATTTGGATTGAATAGTAAGCAGCTAGCTAAGCTGCGCATGTGATGTCCCTATAATTCGGCCCGACAGTAGAAATGAATGAAATTTCGAACAGAAGAAGAAAATTGGCAGGTAGTCTCTATACTATAGGGAAAAATCTTAAATTTATAAGAATCATGCTACGAAAAACCTATTGAGAGCAGATCGGAGTGGATTGTTTTAAGACAGCTTCTTGGAGATCACATCGCCGGCCACCTGCTTGATCTTGTCGGTGGCTTGTCCGATCAGATTGTCCGCGCCTTTCGGAAAATACATTTAAATTAATTATTTTGCTATTATTGCTGGTTTATTTCTTTGCGATTCTTAATCAGTCGGTAACTTTTAAAATGCCCCGATAAACTGATTATTTTTTAGGATTATTAAATCTACGAGTTCAACTGATGAAGAATCGTTATCTTTTTTATTACGTGCATATTAACGGAATACAATTGCCTTGCAGGAAGAAACTTACCAGAGCGTTGCATTTGTGTATGCTTGTTTGCTTGCTTGGAAGGTTCTCTTTGCGTGTGTTACTTACTTTTTTCGTATTTCTTGAAGTATGGCAGGATGACCTTATGGTACATGATGGTCGATCCGTTGTTCTCGATTGGAACCATGCACCAGACGAAGAAGACGCACTGTAATGATGCAAATACATTCGTCAGTAGGACAGTTTTTAAAACATAAATCAAAAGCAATTCACCTTCAACAGCCAGTAGAAGGGGATGATCTGCACCAGGAAGAAGGAGACATGCTCAAACACGGACAGAACACCGTAGATGACCCAGTACGTGAGCCATCTGGTGTCGTCCTCCTTTGTGCGGGTTTCGATCGCCTTCATCGAGATATAGGCCGGATACGCAACGCCGATGGCATTGCACAGGATCTGTGCAGCATATCCGAATGCCAGATAGAGAACCACAATGGCTACACCACCTGTAAGGATAAGAAAGATGTAAGGAATTAGAGCTCAATGTTGCTATTTGACGGTAACTTCATGAAATGGTATGTAAAATTTGATTAAATTCTCCTTCGAATTTCCATGCAATTCACCTTTAACGTGTTGAAATTCTGCTTAGAATTATCTTGATTTATAATTTGTTTATTTTTCAAGGATAATTTGCCGTAGCTTTGCGGAACCGATATTCATTGTTTAGATTACAAAATTACTTAAAACTAACGTTAGTAAAGCGGGGGCCGATTACTCGCGGCTATCTCGAGGTTAGGGGTAACAAATTGTAACAAATGGATGGCATGGTAGCGATTGAGAACACTAGGCGACATACTGATGGAAAAGACAGACATGGGGGTACACCGATGGGCAGCTTGGGGGAGTATAACATGACACTAACTACTAAAATTTAAAATACTCAGATCTATCCGTTTTAAAAACATATAAATTAAATTCCAATAGTCGAGATCGCATAGGTTGTTTTCCAAGGGCCCTGCCTGAGGGATCTTGAAAGTTCTGCATTCTTCTGAAAATTGCTTTGGAATTCTCCTTAGGATGCTTATGGACTTATCCTCAGAATCCCTTAAACATCTCTAAGGGAACATCCATTAATTACGTAGCATATTTTAGACAATTTTAGAACCCTCGCACCTCGCAGCATATTTAGCTATATTCAATACAAGGCCGGTCACAATTTCTGAAACTCCCCCCTCAAATGCTACGTCATTTGTGGATGGTCCCTAAGAATTCCTTTGTAATGGATAACATCATTCGAGCAGCTTACAATGACGTTTCCTACCACTCGACCAGCTTGAAAAATCTGGAGTTTATTGCTTCATTTTAAATATTTAAATCACATTTTCTTTAAATGGTAGCAGGTCGTCCCAAAACTGCTCGTCAATATGATTAGTTGCAACCTTTGGTATAATTCGCAGAATTCCCGGGTAAGTTTTTTTTAGAATTAACTTAAAATTGTCTTTCGAATTTCCTAAACTAATTTATCTGGAGCTCTTCTCACTTGAAATATTTCTCACAATTGTCTTGAACTTTTTGTCAGTACTCCCTTGGAATTTGTGTCAGTAATATCTTGATGTTTTCCCTAGAATTCCTTTCTATGCTATTTTTAATTAAATACCAAACATCATTTGAGCAGTTTAAATGACGTTTTATATCACTCAAACTTTGCCGTGGAATAATATTTTGAATGTTTTCTTATATAAAGTCGGGAAAATAGGATCTTATTTATGCTAAGCTAGAAAAATCTGGAATTTATTGGCTCATTTTCTAAAATCGCTGGTAGTCCAAACTGCTCAACAGGATGATTAATTAAGTGTGAATTTTATAGATAGCAAAGAAGAACAAATCATTTTTTGCTAAAACACGGTAGGGCACTGTACTTCTACTAAATTTACATAATTTTCTCCTCAAAGTGAGGGAATCCAGTACAGTCCAAGAGTCTTTCAAATTGTCATCGAAATCGAAATTCATGGGCCTTTTCCATTTTTCCACGGTAATTTAAAATTCCCGACTCTTTCCCAGGTACAGGGCTGTTACAAGATTTTCTAAAATCGATCCGCGAAATCCGCGATTCCTCAAAATAATTCCGCGACTTCAAATACTAATCCGCGACAAAAAAAAACTGTTTTCATTGCCTAAAAATACCATTTGTATAATACTACATGGTATTTCAAGCTTATAGCATATTAGATTTTTGCCTTATCTCAACTTAGTGTTCTAGTACTTAGTACTTCAACTTTCACATTGAGAGCTTTCTATGCCTGTACTATCCTATCCTCAATTTTCCAACCCCAAAAATTAATAGACCGGACGGGAATCGAACTCAGTCGCCTCCAGCATGGACTTGCTTTGTAGCTGCGTCTTAACCGACTAAGCTAAAGGAGTATCGTTTGTAAACTTAAAAAAAATATTTATGTATAGATTCTATTGAATAATACCGGCCTAGATTTGATGAAACATTATTTAAAAATTTATGTATTTTCATTTGAAATGCAAATTTTCTTGAACGTTGACCTTTGCGTCTCTGACGTATTTTGGTGTCCTAAATGTTGTAGTTAATTTGGCTCTAGTTTTCTCAATTTTTGACCGATTCAAACCAAACACCCTGCACATAATCGAGAAATTGCCAGAGTTTCATAAGTCACACTTATTGGTCACGTCGTGGTTCAGTATCTACACGGATATTCATTGGGGTATGCCGAATCGTATTCATGTGACTGTGTGGAACGACTTATTACTATGTATACCGGAAATTATAGGTTTTCCAAATCGTCCAGGACATCAGTTGATTTGTTCTACTAAATCAACCAAGACTACAATAATGTCTGTAGTATCAAAAAAATGTCCAATCAGATTCAAAGTGTCTATGTGGATCATGCATGATCTATTTTCGAGTAATCTAGATGTTGTAGGTTCTTCAAATCGTCCTGGAGTTCAGATAATTTGATCTACTAGATCAATCGAGATTGGGACAATGTCTTTAGTATCGAAATATTTCCAGACAAATGCACAGTGTCTATGTGGATCATGCATGAACTATTGCCATGTATACCAGATGTTTTAAGTTCTCCAAATTGTTCTGGAGTTCAGATGATTTATTCTACTAGATCAACCATGACTGGGATAAAGTCTGTAGTATCGAAATATTGTTTGGATTCATAGTCTCTATATGGATAATGTTTAATTATTTTCACGTATACCAGATGACTAGGTTCTCCAAATCGTCCTGCACTTCAGATGATTTGTTTTACTAGATAAAAAAAACTAGGATAATATCTGTAGTATCAAAATATCGATTTGGAAATCCTAGAACATTTGGCATACACGGAAATAGGTTGGCATGATCCACATAGACACTGCAATTTTGTTTGGGCATATTTCGATACTACAGATATTGAATTAGTCTTGGGTGATCTAGTAGAAAAATAATCTGCTCTCCAGAATGATTTCAGAACCTATAACATCTTGTATACGTAGCAATAGGTTGGGTACAATCCACATAGATACTTTGAATCTGTTTGGACATATTTCGATACTACAGACATTATTGCAGTCTTGGTTGATATAGTAGAACAAATCAACTGAACTCCAGGACGGTTTGGAGAACCTAGAATATCCGGTATACATGGCAATTACTCGCATATATACGATTCGTTTATGATTTGACAACGAAAAATGCTATGTTCATATTGGAAATAAAAAAAAAACATGATAATGTCTCACATTGGACAGATCTCCGGTGTGACTTATGGAATTAAGATCATTTCTAGATTATTTGCAGGGTGTTTAGTTTGAACCGGTAAAAAATTGAAAGCCAAATGAACAACAGAATTGATGACAGCTAAATAATACGGGACAGAAAGGTTACAATGAATTCCACAATTTGTGTGACAGTACATCATTCAATTCGCTATTTTCGCGACATCATTTAATGTTTCCGCGATTTTCGCGACTGAAACTTCAAATCCGCGACAAATCCGCGAAAATCGCGAAATCCGCGAAAATCGCGAAATCCGCGAAATTTGCTATATCCGCGCCTGTTGTAACAGCCCTGCAGTTATCCCGGTTCACTTATCACCCTTCCAATGTGGATGATTTTTCAATGATTATGTGTTTCATGCTGAGCCGTTTTCGTGTGCATTCTTTTGCAACAGACGAGTGAGCGGTTGGCAGAGAGAATCACTTATTTGCTTCCTATAGCTTCAAATATAACTTCACATATGACGTTGAGCATGAGCATGATTGACCGCCCACGGTTGCTACTCTGTTATTGCCAGATCAGCTGTAATTACACAGAGAACCAATAGACGATGCTAGACTAGAATTCATCCTCAATGTGTAAAAACTGGTGATCTCAAACTAGGCAATACCAGCGCCGGTCGCGCCCGAACGCAGGTCAAGAAAGGAATGGGTAGGAATGTGTTGACGTGACACTTGCTTTGATAGAAGCCGAGGAGTCCAATGCACTTCCACGAGGAATCACTGGGATGTTAGGTAAGAGGGTTGAGTTTGCAGCAGGGTTCGTTTTGGTAAATGATAAGCTGCATTGATGTCCGATCATATAACACGAAGGAGCTTGGGATTGAACTCACAGTCTTCTGCTCAGTAAGTAAAAACGTTTGCCACCAGGCGAACGAGCTCGTTTCTAATAATCGAGTTGCTGTTATTACCATGTAGTCATATTAACAAATAAAATCTTGAATGTGGATGGGCCTGAGATTAGACTCATGATGTTCTGCTCAAAGAGCAAAAACGGTCGCTCTAAGGACACCGAGCCCTTATATGACATCATACCGTTACGCGAGTTGTTGTAACCATTCAAACCCGGCACAGCCAAACCGACGATCTTTCAAATTCGAAAACTAAAAGTTACGAAAAAGCACTTAGACCTTCATTAAGGGGGTAATCCCAATCTTTTGCCTTTTTTCGGCCTGTTTTTCAATTAATTTTTTTTCAAGGAAAATGAATAGTAATGCGCCTAACTCTTTGGGATTCTTGTTTATTGAACATTAAAGTTTACAAATAAATTTTTTTCGACATAAAAAAAAAGACATTATTGACGTCACAAAATGGCGGCAAACAGACCCCTGTTCGCCGCAAACGCCTGGACGGGCGAAGACTTTTCTCTGGAACGACTTCATCTGAAACAAATTTCGTGATGAAATTAATAATCTGCATAAGATTCTCTGGAGCTTCTCCCGTTGGCAGCAAAAAATCTTGCAAATTAACAAAATGGCGGCCATATAAAAAAACAGGCGATTTTTAGCCCGCTTTTTTGCAGCTTTAAGGTGCTTCAAACAATGTTAAATGTTAATATTTTTGGCTGAAAGTGGGAGAAGCTCCAAAGAATTTAATAAGGAACAAAATGCGCAAAGATTCAAGTCAATATCTCTTATAGTTTCTGAGAAAAATCGCCCGATAAAAAAAAATGTGGTTTCGAGAAAAACGCGTTTAAAGTTTTGACTTT